TATCGCTGTTGATGTCGACCCGGCTAAAATCAAATTAGCCCGCCGAAATGCTCAAATATACGGAGTCGAGAAAAAAATCGACTTCCGTGTGGGCAATTGTTTCGACATTTTAGACCGGGTCAATGCAGATGCAGTGGTGACATCGCCTCCGTGGGGCGGACCCGGCTACTCCAAACATTTCGACGCGAATGATCTGTGTAGCCGGGAAGCTGGTGGCATGTCAAGCATCCTCAAGATGGCAAGGAAGATCGCTCCTCGAACTGTATTACACGTACCGAAGACCGTTGACCGAGAACAGTGTTTACACTTATCGAGAAACGCAAACTTCGGCCGTGTAGAGTTCGAGGACGTGACGATCGATGGCCGGCAGAATTGTATAAATATATATTTAAAATTGCGACAGGTAAATAAAATTGGTTATATTATAATTATTTTTAATAACATTATATTTAACTAAGTTCAAAAACAATTTTCTCATTCTGACACAGTTTTCTTATTATTATGTTCTAGGATAACAAACAACTCGGACCTGTCATCAATACAAAAGTAGAATTAGACACTGGATACAAAAATTGGTGGTCACGTTCTAATGACCTTAATGCATATTCCACATATTTGGAAAAAACTTCAAAATTTTTGAATTCCAAATAACTGTGATTTTGGAAAAAATTTTCCGATATATTTTTGTTTATAATATTTTTTAAATTTTTTCCTGTTTTGAGTTTTTTTCTCTCAAGAGTTTTTTTTACTTTTTTTTACTTTTTCGTTCTTTACATTTTTTTCTGTTTTAGTTTTTTTCTCTTACTCAGAGTTTTTTTACTTCAATTATTTTATACAAATCATAAATGATCATTTATCATTTATTTTTTTAATGTTATAACTTTTTTCTTTTTTTATGTTTTGTTACAATTTTACAGTTTAACTCATTTTTCCTTTTTTTATTTATATACACTTGTTATAATACTTTTCACATTTTTTTTGTTCTGTGGATTTATTATTGTTATTTTTTTAAGTTTTACTTACTATGACTAGTATTTTTGTTCACCAAACATTTTTAATTTATTTTAACCCTTTTACTACCACATTAAGTTTTAACTACAAAAAAAAAAAAAAAATTTACGAATATTATAAATACACTTCTTAGATACCCAATACCAAGTTTCGTGAGGATAGGTTAATTTGGTAAAAAGTTACAAGGTTCTACCTTTCAAGGTACACCGGTAGTCAATATAATGAAACCTAACCACGAATTGCAGATCGCCATGTCAATGGCGTGGAATACCATTCGCAATGTCCATTTTTTCGATTTTAAAAAAATTCTGTAGTAAGCTATTAGTTGATCAATTTTATCCACACCACCCATGCTCTTATTATATAGTTTTATTACTTCTGGTTGTTCAACTGTATCATATTTTTTTATTTTTTTATCCCACCGTTCGACATTATCTACACTTCCAGATGCAATAAAATTTGATGCCATATGAACAGATTTACTATCATATCATTTTAACAATGCGATTGTATTTTTGTCATTTCGAATTTCGAGTGTTGTCCCCTTCTCTATGGAAGCACTTGATCAGTCATAAACGGGGTCTTTGAAAATCTATCCACTCGTATAGTCGACGCTGCAAATATTTTCCGTTTCAACAATATTTCGAATAAATTATAACTTGCAAAGAAATTATCAAAAAATAAGAAGTGCTTATTTTCCTCAATATGTTCGGTTAATTGTAGAACAACTGAAGTGCCTGGACTAAATTTATTTTTAAATTTAGGGAAAAATTCAGCCTCACTGCCTTGGTAGATGAATATCTTTTGGTTTTAATTTATTAGCCATAGTCAAATCTCACAGTGAAAAATCACGATTATAATAATAACTTGAACAAAATATTATATACGATACTGTTCGACAGACGAATTATAAATGTTATGCTTTTTGATAATAAATATCAACAGACAAGATTATAAATGTGTATATGTGTGTAAAAAAAAACCTATCATTAATAATAATTTGAATTGTGAAGATAAGTAAAAATAAGTGGGTAGGATATTTCTAAAAATAAACATAAAATAATATTGATTGATCCATATTTTGAATCGACTACCAGTGGGTATTTGAATACCCACCAACTTTATGACTAGCATCTGCACCATCTAGTGATCCGTCTCTTCCGATTCTTATATAATTTTACTTTCAAGATACTACTTAATCACTATAATTAATTTGAACACCACGCTAGGTATCTCTTAGCTAAGTACCACATTAAATCAAAAGAGGTGTAGTCGAAAAAAAAATAAATACACCAAAAACTTGAATTTTTTTTTAGATTTTAAGCTTTTAGTTATGTATTATTGAAATTTAACAGTATGATTTCAACTTCTATACTAAATATATATATTTTGCTACAATTTTTTTCAAATTTCAGCTTTTTAACACTATAAACTGCGCCATTACCACACTTACAACTTTATGTATCTTGGAGTACCCACTGGTAGTGAAAGGGTTAAATTATTGTTGCAATTTTTTTTTTTTTTTTTATAACTTATTGTTTTGTTACATACATACATGCAAATATACTATGATTAACTATGTAACTGTATTATTTTTATTTTAATTTTATGTACTTATTAAAAAAATGCTTTATTATTTTTTGATCAAAATTATTATATCATTAAAGTTTTATTTATATGATTGAATAGATTTAAATTTGGAATTTTTCAATTTGATATTCTAATATTTTTCTCTTAATACTAATTTTCTAACTATTAGTAATATAAGTCTAAAAAGTAGCTAAAAAAATTCTAGTTCGAAGAATCTTTGAAAAAATATAAAAAAAATAAATATCTGATATTTACTGCATAATAAATATTAAAATATTAACTTTATATGGCCTGTGAATAATATATGTTTAAATGTTCTTATGCATCAATATACAAAAATAAATCATAATTCAAAATCAATAAATCTTCTAAATCAAGAATTAATAGTCCTTTTTTTTTTTTTATAAATATTTTAAAAATAGAATGAGCAATTTTCAATGGATGAATCAAACTTCGCACTTATATGATTTAATACATACATAATACAATCATTCTTTCGACATATTTGCCTAACACTTAAAAATGATGTCGATTTTCTTCATATTTAACATTGAGAAAAATGACTATACTAGTATATTTAATGTATGGTAGTACGGTTTAAAGTATTTAATAATGTAGTATGGATCAAAATAACAAGCCTTTACAGAGTAAATGCCATAGATTTTGGTGTGAAACATTAATATTTGAATGATAATTTGAGGATGTAACTCATATAAGTAATTATTAAACTGTATTACTTTGAATTTTTATCTCACAGATTAGAAAAGAGGTTTGATCATTTTTTCTCCTTCATACAGTGCCGGACTTAACTATTGTGCCGCTTTAAGCAATAAACATATTGCCACCTTTTAATATAACTATTTTTCCAGTCTAAAAAATGTTATTAAAGTAACAATTATAATTGTTTCCTTTATTACTTAAATTTTTAATCGACGTCTTAGATTTTAAACGAACAGATCTTATTTAATACGTTTAAATGCACAGTTAAAAGCTGTTTAAAAGTTAAAGCGTTTTAATCATGAATTATGTAAACGCTTTAAAGCGACCTTGATAACATAAACCGCTTTTATTTTAAGGACGCTCGAATATGTAGTTTAATCAAAATAAATCGGTTTAATAATTAAAATCGACTATATTATTCATTATTCAGATTTTATTTTTATGAATATTTTCATTATACTTATTAGTCTGACCTATTATAAATTACAATTTTTAATATTTAAATATTTAATTATTGATAATTAATAAGTATTAAAAATAATAGTGGGTCTGGAAGAAATACCAGTTTCATGGAATAATGAAATGATGAACTTTAATATTATTCTCATGTAAACAAGTCAGGTAATTTAAGTTGACTTAGAATAAAATCGGTTTAAATTAAGAACGGCTTAACTCTTATCATGTAAACGTAGTAGCCGTCTGAACGTAGTTGTAGTGTGTAACCCATATACCTCTTACTCAGTCCTTTACTGAGTAAAAGGTCTATGGTGTAATCATCTTTACATTTAATGTTATAATATTAGTTCAAACTTATATTTATATGAACCAAGAATATATATGAATGCAAACAATTATATATTTATGCCAGACATCCATACAGTTCTAGCGCTATGTATGTATAACTTTTATAAAAAAGTTATAAATATTGTAATCAGTATAATATTTAAATCTAGTCACATACACAAACCTTATTATATTATTTATAACACGAAATAGAGTAGTAAATAAAGAAAAAAGTGTGGAAAGTGAAAAGTATTTTGTAGAAGTAAAAAAAACAATATAAATAACCGAAAGGCCTGATATATTTTGAAATGTTAATACATGCTATACTTATATATATATAAACATGTACTGTTTGGACTATGGCATTTTTGAATTTACATATTATGGATTACACGAGTTAGCAATTCTGAAACAAATAAAAACAAAATTTGAAAAATATGGTGTGCAATAAACAAGAATACCATTTTTATGGCTATATTAGGAATATACCTAGTAGATTGATAGAATTGAATGACATTGGAAATAATATGAGACAAATTATGTCACACAATAGTTTATAATATTGAAATATTTATGTTTGTATTACATTTTTGGTTATAACAATGTTAGGATTTTATGAAATTTTAAAATATACATATAATTGTAGTATAGTAACTTATATTAAATATTTATTTTTGTAATAGTCGTAACTGATATTTTTTATAAGATAAATTCGTACCATTATAAAAAAATTAAATTAATATATCTATATTTTTATTTATATGAATTTTAATTAGATATTTTTATAATTTATCATGTAAATCTAAAATACACTTCGATTTTTTAACATTCTTTTTTATGGTGTTAAATATATATATATGAGAAATTACAAAAACTTTTTTACGTAAAACCATTTTTTTATTAAAAAAAATATACATTATAACTACAGATATGAAAAATGTATAATTTAATTTTATGTATGTTTACTAAACTTAAATTTAAATCGTTTGTGTATGTATTATGTATTCAATATTATCCAATCCCGATACTTTTTCTTAATTAATTATTTAATTATAGTAATTTAATAATCCTGTTTTTTGAAATAAATTATTTAAAGTCACTGAAAATATAACTATGAAATATTCGAAAGAAATAAGTATTGATATAATTTAATTCAAAATTCATCTTTAAAACTTGACAAAAATGAAAGAAAGATTATATATTATAATTTCCATAGGTAAAATAAAATAAAATCATAGGGAATTTAATTGATTAAAACTTAAAATTAAGAAAAATTTTATTAGTTTTACGGTATAAAATTGTAAATTCTACAATTTAACATCGACTGAAATTATTATCATGGAAAATTCGAAAAAATAAATAAATAGTAATTCAAATTATATAACTAAAATTGTTAGAAAGTGTGAAATAAATTTATATTTGTACTTACTGACAGTGGGCTCATTTTTGGTGCAGCTTTGGCGACGGTCTTGATGACCT